AGGGTGCCACGATGGAGCCTTTGCATTCGGCGCAAGCGCGAGGGCCTGGTGCCATTGGCCCACTTGCAAGCGTTGCCATGAGAGCGCTCGCGCAGCTGGACTTCCCTGGGCGTCCGCGTGTCGCCGGCCAGGCTGCTTAGACGGACGGCGGAGCCCAAAACGAGTTCCCTCACCTTCTGGCAATGAGAGCGACCTGGATCCTAACCGCGGCCTACGACTTCACGGCCCCGCGGCGCGCCGTCTACGCGCGCGTCACCCCACCTTTGCCAGCACCAGCCCTTCACCTACCGCATCCAGGTACCAACTGCCAATCCGGTTGTCTGCTTGCATCTTTAGCTCTATGAGTTAGAGAGTTCCCAGCGCCCCCATCGCTGCATATGCGGCGTCATTCGAAGCGACGAAGTCTTTTAGTGGAGAAACATAATTTTCTTTTACGGATATCGGTCAAGAGATATTCAAAGAGAATTTTAAAACACGTCTTTTTTCGTATGTTCCGACTACTTAAATCTTCGAGTACAACCTCTAATGTCAAGTAGGAGAGCAAGTTTGTATATTAAACTATTCACATTTCTGTTAGTTTTGAAAATATAAAACAGATCACATAACTTCGTTGTATTTAACTGAACCTGCAACATGTACTCAATGAAATCGTTTTCAACTCGTTCAGAATGTTCTGGTATCCATAGCTAGGCTCATAATTAAACAAATACCAACCGAAATACTTAGTACAAACCAATAGGTTGTGCGACAACAATAACAACTAAATTGAACGACATTATTTTTAAATCACACGTTACATAATTATCTATTACAATTCTTAGACCTAGTGGTCTGTTGCAGTTGCTTAGATTGATGTAACATCTAGTTTGGGCGCTCGGCACTTAATTTCTATTCGGTTTTGTTTCCACATTCATCCATTTTTTCAAGAATGCTGTAAACCTGGAGAATAATTTTGATATTTTTATTCATCTTTGGAAACACTGCAATACCACTAAGCGCATTTCACACGTTTGGATTCTATTCCAATGTTTTGCAGTTATAGTTCATGTTTCACTTCCATATAACCGTGTTGACATTGCTACTATTTTATAGAATTGGCGCAGCGTGTTTTTTAGTTGTATAATTTAAAATTCGTTTTAGTTAAACATATAAATTAAACTTATTTTCGTATCAATATCGATTTTTTCACGATATATTTGGCAACTCAGAAAATTAAATGAAACTTTCGCTGGAAAAGGAAAGTAGATTTTGTTTTAGGGAAAGCCTGGAGATCTCTTCTCTGTAATGCGCATCTTAAAAAAAGAGTACGGTAAACGCAAAGGAAATTGCTTATTTATCACTTGTTCGTCCGATAGTGGAACATGGAACAATTTGTTGGGATCCGTACAAAATTATGCAGTGTAAAAAGTTGGAAAGGGATCAGTGTAGGGCAACTAAATTTACTCGGAAACACGCGATTAGTAGCAAGACTCCGCGCTTTGTATAAAGCTTATACCGATAATGCAGTTCCCAATGAAATTAATCGGCGGCTAAGTTTTTCTACATTCACCAATGCACGCACACAATAAATTTAAGGGCGCAGAGAACGGAAGTTGGGAAATTTTCTTTCAGAAATTGAACAATAACGGAATGAAATAGATTGTCTACAAAAACATTTGAACCCTTTTCTCGAAGCGTCCAACAGTTTAGGAAAGTAATTTAGGAGTATTACTAATTAAACGAGGGACTTAACTAAGAATAGTAGGTATTAGAGCAATGCGTAAGTAATGTGATGGGTTATCGCAAGGATAAATAAAAAGGAGCAATAAATTCACATAATTATAAATACGGATAATACAATAATGGGAGGGGGTAGAAAAGAAACAGAGATGAGTGTTAATTGGAAAGAATACGAGGAGAAATGAACATAATTTATGGTGGGGAAAATACAGAATGTTGATAAATATTACAGGGAAAGGCACGGGAGCAAATTATGTGAGAGAGAAAATAAATTAAGAAAGTTATTACGAAACAAGAACCACAGAATTAGCCGATACTGTGTTAAAAGCCGAGTGAAGAATCAGGAATTAGATTGTGTGGGAGGAATTGAAGGGTCTGCGCATTAGCAACGAACAGGAGATGCAGTTGGGTACAATTCCGCGCAGATAAGAGACATGATAAAAGGCGCGCAAGATAAACAAATAAGCATCGGGCTGTTGAGTATGTTGAGGAGAGGGTTGAGGAGAGGGTAGAGCAAAGGGTTGAGGAGAGTGCTGAGGAGAGGGTTGAGGAAAGGGTTGAGGAGAATGCTGAGGAGAGGGTTGAGATGATTTCTGAGGAGAAGGTAGAGGAAAGGGTTGAGAAGAGTGCTGGGGAGAGGGTTAATGATTGCGTTGAGGAAAGGGTTGAGGAGAATGCTGAGGAGAGCGTTGTTCGCAGTCCGGCCGGGGACCAACGTGGTGCAGCGCCGCAGCGAGGAGTCGTCGGTGACGGTGCCCTACAACGTCACCTTCCGCGACCTGGCGGCACGCCCCGCCGGCGACGGCGAGCTGCAGTTCAACTACTGCGGCTGCGGCTGGCCCCACCACATGCTGCTGCCCATGGGCACCCGCGAGGGCTTCCAGGCTGACCTCTTCGTCATGGTGTCCGACTACGCCGCCGACGAGGTCAGCCAAACTCCACTTGACAGGCGAAGCCTTACAAACATTCGCGTGGCAATGCGTCTACTCGCTTTGGCCTGGGAAACTTTCCTCCCTCTTTCTTCTCCTATGCTTCCTCCTTTACGAACGTACCCTGATATACACTACGACACACGTCGGGAGAATAGAGTTTGTCCGAGAAGGGGAAATATACTTAGAGGGAGAAATTCCTCTGTCAAACCGCCGTGAAGGTGTGCACAGTATCTCACCATCGAGGGGAGACGAATACCTCCATCTCGTTCTCGAGAACGTTCGTGCCTTATTCTACGTGTCGAGACTCGGGCCATCAGTACCGCTCTTCCGTCTGACTACGCAAATTTCGTTACGCTCATTTCACCGTCTAGATTAGAAGGAAGGTATCATCTAAGACTATTTTAATTTAGCTCAGGGCATCATTTAGACTTCAGGATCTTTTAGAGGAAGTAAATCTGTAACATGGGACAGCCGGCTTTACTTCCCATCCGAAGGAAGGGGTACGAAGGATTTTTTCGCCCTTAAAAATCCATGCTTTGGATCGGGTTTTAACTCGCAAACTTTGTTAAAACAGTCCGATACGCTAATGGTTATACCACGGAGCTCGAAAGTTGTCTAGAGCGAAGGAAGTCGTTGGCTCCGGCGGCGAGAGACATGTAAATCATGTTGGCTTCCGGGAGTCGTTGCATCGAATGCTGTGTTGCCAACCATCTTTTCGACCTTCTTGCGATCAGGGTCGGTCCGCCCAACCAGCCCTGAGCCGCCTTAAGGAAGAACTCCACCGGATGGTCGAAATGGCAACAACGCAGCCTTCGACGCGGCGTCACCCGGTCAGCCAAGATCATGTACCAGAGCAGGGGCGTTCAATTTGCAAGGCCTCAAGAATCACAGCCTTTAATATGGTTGCAGGCCATATTTCATTGCAGGGGCGATGCACACGTGACCCCGTATTGTTGGTCTCCGCAGTTTTCCCGGCTGCTCCGAAACGGGGGCTGGCGATTTTACCATGCGTGATATCCGATCGTACCATGCATAATGCGATGAAACACATGGGATCATTTTGAATTTCTGAATTAACGAGAAAAAATCTCAAATCTAAACTGGAACCTATTTAACGTAAAGAGGCGTTGGCCCTCGGTAGAACGCGTTGCGCTATTGCGCATATGTTCTCGCCCGATATGGATGCAAGGGAAATTTCACTTTTGACTAATAAACCATTCGACACAAAAACCACAAAAACAAATGCAGCCCTGGGGCTGTGTGCGCAGGTGGGCAGACGACGGCCGGCGCCGCCGGCCGCCCGGCGCCGCCTACTGCGCGGCGTGCTGGGGCAGCCTACCCCGACCGCCGCCCCATGGGCTTCCCCTTTTCGACCGCAACCCGCGCCCCGGCGCCCAGACGCTGCAGCGCTTCCTCACGGCCCAACATGGCCGCACGCCCGTGCAGGTGCGCTTCCACGGGGGAGCTGAACGCGCCCGGCCCCGCCGCAGGCGCCACCGCAGCGCCACCGGCGGCCCACCGGCAGCGCCACCGGCCAGCGCCGCACGGCAGCGCCCACCGGCAGCGCCACCGGCAGCGCCACCGCAGCGCCGCCGCAAGCGCCACCGGCAGCGCCACCGGCAGCGCTACCGCAGCGCCACCGGCAGAGCCACCGGCAGCGCCACCGCAGCGCCACCGGCCAGAGCCACACGGCAGAGCCACCGGCAGCGCCACCGGCAGCGCCTCCCGCAGTGCCGCTGGAAGCGCCACCGCCGCCTGCGGCCAGCACCCCGCAGCGCCGCAGGGGGCGCCCCCTGGCCTCCCGTGAACCTCCTCCCGTCGCTCATTCATCCAATGGCTCGCGCACCGATACATAGGACTAGATTGACAATGCTACCCCTACTAGTGAAGCCAAGCGGGAGATGGTAAGATGGCGGCGCGGGCAACTCTTCACTTCACTCAATACTCTCTGCTTATACGGGTATTAATAGCTTTGGAAATATAGTTTTATAGTACTTAAAGTTTTTTATATTTCATTCAATTTGTTTCCTAGCTGCAATTTTTCTTTTACCAAATGAAAAGATAAATAAATGAACATTTGTTAACATAATAATGAGTGCAAATTATGTTTTAGCGGCTAAAAAATTACGATTTATATTTTTTTCATTCAACGTGCGGAGCTGAGGAAAGTGAAGTTGTCAATGCCGCTTAGTTAATTTTGCTCCTAAGGAATTCGCCTTACAGATTTTGCATTGTATTCTCAACTGTTAAGAGTACATCTAATATTGATCATTCAACTATTTAATGATTGAACTAAATAAGATAGTTCCAGTTGCGTCACTCAGAAATGTTTAATACGTCAGGCAGAACGTAATCGAGATTATAGAAATGTAATTATTAGGAATACAGAGAAATATTTCAAGTGTCACTCGCTAGGGGAAGTCTTGATATCTTTAAAATTAAACCCGCGTAATATACAGTGGTTTCACTCTGTTGCAATTATTACTTGTAACTCTAAGAATGTATGAGAACACGCGTTGCCCTTCATGTACGCCTGGGAACAGGATGAGCGTAAGAGGGCGTGACGCGCCGGTTGTTGGCTTCACTGCTACCCAAGCGCCTGTCACACGCACTGCCAATCTATACTATTTATCTGTGGGCTTGCCCGGGCTGTGGGTCGGCTCAAGTGCTACGAGACTTTCGGGCGTTTCGGCTGCTGCTGCACGAAACCCTCACTGGCATCCGCAGTTGCAAGCGAAACGTCCAGATGGCTTACTTTAACTTAATCACTGCCAGCCGTGAAAGCTTACATTTCTTATAATTTGAAGCATTGTCATATATTGAAGGGAAGAGATCTCCCAGGCCATCTGGCAACCCTGTAAATGGTTCAACGAGAAATCAAAAATAAGTGTATTTTATTCTTCTTGTAGTGTGTTTCATTTATTTACTACAAATATATATGGAAAGAAAAAAGAAAATAGAATGGAAAAGGGGCCCAGAAATTCTTATCTTGTTTTAGGTTACGCGCCTATTGACAAGGCTGTGTAATATTATTAAAAAACTGGCCACCACAAATCAATCATGAACTGCAACAATGAGAGGATGCGGAATATGCGAATTTTGAGTTATAACAGTTTTTTTTAGCATTTTGTAGCGGCTATTGTTAACAGAACTTCTGTGAAGCTTGTTAGTAATATTTACTCCTTACTCCACAAAAGTGCGATTCTTGCATTTCAATAGTGAAATCTGTGAAGAGGTGTATCTTGTAACTCCAATTGTCAAGCTGTTACTGTATTAGAGTCCATTAACGATATAGTATCTTTCCTGCCCATAAAGGTCTTCTCTTTTTTATCTTTTCCCTTTGACTTCTCCTCCTTCTTCCTCCTTATGTCGCTGGCTCGGGGCGGACATTGGTAGTCCACGTAGCTCTGATTTTGAGTCAGCAGCACGAAAAGCTTGCAATGACGCGCACTTGAAGCCTCTTCCAACATCCAATACACCTTACAAAGAAACAACGCAAACAACAGAAAATTGAGAAAACTCAGAAACAAGAAAAACTAGTGGTGCTGCAAAGCACACACTTTCGCGCAATGTATCTGAACGCTCCAAAATATTATATTGATTTGCTTATTATATTGAACAATTGATATACGTTTTAAAAATAGAACAAGAGAGTTGTACACTTGTTTTATATTTATATAATAGTAATAAACTTTTGGTGGTTTCAGTTTTAGTATTAAGAAGCCGAAAAGTCTAGAAAATGGGAAATAATATTCTTTGAGGAACCAAAGAAGGATCTGGGAAGAGAAACGGTCACAACTGTAATCCTAGTTTAGATTACAGAGATTGGAAAATTAAATACTGCAAGAATGTTTGAATCGGGGGCATTCTATAGCAGCAGTACTTTATTTATTATTTATTTATTTAAAATTATAATTTAAAAAATATGTTATAACAAAAATCGGAACTGGTATTTTTATAAAAGTACTCTAACCTCCTGGTATTGTAGGGAATGCAAGTGTGTGTAAGGGATGATAACAGGAGAAGGAAGAGGGAAGAAAGATCGCGCGCGGCCCATGATGTGTGTTAGGGCACATACTGCTGCATCAGGGCAGTCGGCCACTACAATTGCACACACAGTGGCTGAATTCTACATATCCATTTAGCTAATGAGGAAAATGCGCTTCCATAGGGCCACAAATATAAGAAAAACACTAATTCGGTATCCAGGACCCACATTTTTTTGTATAGTAGCAGTAGTTCTTCAGGTCGCGAACACCCTCTGGTGATCAATGTATGGATATACTCAGCAGTCCCCATTTATACATTAGTTCTCTCTATTTTCCCTGTTGTTGCTGCTACTATATTCCTCCAGTTCGCCCGATTCTCAGTCACTCGAACGATAGTCCTACTATTGCCTTAATTTCATCTGACCACCTTGTTTTCCTGCCTCTGCATCCAGAAATAGACTGTATCAATAGATCCTTCTCCAAAGAAACCTCTTTTCTCATCAGATGTCCAAAATGTCGCAGTTTAAGGCTGGTGGCCACTGCTATAGCTACTAACGAAGAGTTCGGTTGAATTTAGCTTAGAAGAGATGTGTTTGTGCGCCTAGCAGTCCATGGAACTCTAAGCATCTTTCTCCATGGTCACATTTCAAATGCGCCTACCTTCTTAAGTGTCCATATGGTTTGTACTAATTGAACTTTACGTTTTCTCGAAATGTCTGAACTTTTCATGTTTTTCATTAGTTTCGACATAGCTACCTCGCCAAGTCCGTTCCTTCTTTTTATTTCCTGCAGTGTGTCCATCTTTTGTTATATACGATCCTAGGAAGTTGTATTCATTAACCAACTTAGTACTTTGTCCATCAATTAAAATACTTGCTTCATTTCCTATGCTCATAATTGACGCCTTGTTTAGATTTAGGTTGAGCCAGAACTCTTCAATGATTTTCTTGATTAGGAACCTCAGATGTTCTTCCGTGTCTGCTAGGCTGGTTGCGTCATCAACACATCTTAGAGCGCTGAGTTTCCGCCCTCCTCTTCGCATTCCAATTGGCCGCTGTTCCAGGCCTGTTGAACAGACTAGCGGGTAATACGCCTTTACTGATATTGATCCACTCTGTTTCACCTCCATATGGTCTCACTTTTGCTAGCTAGTTCATGAAAAGATTTATTATTTATTATATGTTTGGTATTCCAGTATTATTAACGATTTTTTTCTGTTGCAAGAAATTCTTCGTAATCGTGCCTTTGGCGGGACAAATGATATAGTAAAAAAACCTCACAAGAAAGGTATTTTACAAAATTAAGATTGATTCTCTTATAAATTTATAATGCTGTTCTTCAAAAAT